CCAACTCAAAAAAAAAAAAAAAAAGATAGAGACAGAGTCTGGCTATGTTGCCCAGGCTAGTCTTGAGCTCCTGGGCTCAAGCAATCCTCCCACCTCAGCCTCCCAAAGTGCTGGGATGACAGGTATGAGCCACTATGCCCAGAGAGATCTCTATACTGTTACTCCCCAGACCCACAGCTCACATAACATAGGGAAAGAATACGGGTGCTTCTGTAAGACAATCAAAAGCAGCCCTTCCTCCAGAGCAGGCAAGAATGTTCTCTACGTCATAGCCTATCATTTGTGTTGATAACATCAAGGTTGTTTTGATTTAAAAGCAAGAGTATAGCCAGGCATGGTGGCTCATGCCTGTAATCCCAGCACTTTGGAAGGCTGATACAGGAGAATTGTTTGAGGCCAGAAGTTCAAGACCAGCCTCGGCAACAAAGTGAGACCTCGTCCCTACAAAAAATACAAAAATGAGCCGGGCTCGGTGACTCAGCCTGTAATCCTGCGCCTTTGGGAGGCTGAGGTGAGTGGATTGCCTGAGCCCGCGGGTTCGAGACCCGCCTGGGCAGCGAGACCTCATCTCTACAATAAATCAAAAAATCAGCCGGGCGTGGTGGCGCATGCCCGTAATTCCGGCTACTCGGAAGGCTGAGGCGGAAGGATCGCCAGAGCCCAGCAAGCCGAGGCTGTGGTGGCCAGGAGCAGCCACTGCACTCCAGTCTGGGCGACAGAGTGAGACTCCGACTAAAAAAAAAAAAAAAATACAAAAATGAGCCAGGCATGGTGGTGTTCACATATAGTCCCAGCTACTTGGGAGGCTGAGGCAGAAGGATCACCTGAGTCCAGGAGGTCAAGACTGCAGTGAGCTGTGAACATGCCACTGCACTCCAACATGGACAGCAGAGTGAGACCTCAGCTCAAAAAGAAAAAAAAGAATAGAAGTTTATCTGGCTTATGATTCTGAAGACTGGGCAGTCCAAAACAAACTTGATCAGTTTGCTGGTACTTCTTTGCATGGGCACTGAATAGCTCATTTCCTGGAAAATCCCTCTGTCAGCTGGTTACCCCACAGGCATGTGCCACGGCCTCTTTGAGAAGTGGGTGTCTATGGGCTCTATCTTTTTTGTTGTTGTTGAAATGTCACTCCATTGCCCAAGCTGGAATGCAGTGGCATGCTCACAGCCACCACAGCCTCAACCTGCTGGGCTCCAGCCATCCTTCCACCTCAATCTTCCAAGTAGTCAAAACTACAGGCATGCACTACCACACCCGGCTAATTTTTTTGTTTGTTTTTTGAGGTGTTGCCAAGTGGCCCTGGCTGGTCTCAAACCCCTGGTCTCAGGCAATCCTCTCACCTCGGTCTCCCAAAATGCTGAGATTACAGGCGTGAGCCACTGTGCCTGGCAATGGACTCTGTCTTATAGGTAAGGAAAATTAGGTGACTTGTCCTGGGTCACAAAATCAGAGGGGTCCAGGACGGGACTCACAGCTAGGTCTCTGGCTGTGACCCTGTGAGCTTCAGCACCAAGCCACACTGCAGAACTTGTCTTCACCTGAGCTCAGCAGGTCGAGGCTGGGATGGCCGTGAGCATGCCACTGCACTCCAGCCTGGGCGACAGAGTGAGACTTCTACTCAATAAATAAGTCAATAATAAAGTGGGAATGATATGGTGAAAAGCAGTTTGGAGGTTCCTCAGAGAGTTACGCACAGTCACTGTATGAACCAGCAATTCCATTCCTAGGTATATGCCCCAAAATAACCGAAACAGGTATTCGGTGAATAACTACACATGCCGGGCACGGTGGCTCACGCCTAGAATCCCAGCACTTTGGGAGGCCAGGGCGGGAGGGTCATTTGAGTCCAGGAGTTCGAGACCAACCTGGGTAACATAGTGAGACCTCGTCCGTACAAAAAAAAAAATCAAAAAAATTAGCTGGGCATAGTGGCGCATGCCTGTAGCCCCAGCTACTTGTGCGGCTGAGGCAGGAGGATCGCCTGAGTCCAGGAGGTCAAGCCTGCGGTGAGCCGTGATTGTGTCTTGGAACTTCAGCCTGGCGTCAGAGTGAGACCCCAACTCAAAAAAAAAAAAGTACTTACACACATGTTCACAGCAGCATTCTTCATAGCAGACAAAGTACAGACAATCCAAATGCCCATCAGCAGAAGAATGGATAAACAGAATGTGGTCCATCCACACAATGAAATGTTCTTGAGCCAGAAAAAGGAATGCCTGACAGATGCTACAACGTGGGTGAACCTTGAAAACGTTACGCTAAAGAAAAAAAAAGGCAGACACAAAAGGCCACACATTGTCTGATTCCACTCACAGGAAGTGTCTAGAATAGGCCAATCTTTTCTTTTTTTTTTTTCTGAATTGGAGTCTCACGCTGTCACCCAGGCTGGAGTGCAATGGCATGCTCACAGCCGCTGCCGCCTCCACCGGCTGGGCTGAGGCGATCCGTCCACCTCCCTCTGCCAAGAAGCTGTAACTACTGGTGCACGCCACCACACCTTCTAATTTCTTGATATATTGTAGAGACGAGGTCTCGCCAGGTTGTCTAGACTGGTCTCAAACCCCTGCGCTCAGGCAGTCCTCTTACCTCAGCCTCCCAAAGTGCTAGGATTACAGACATGAGAGAATAGATCAATCTTCACACACAGAAAGCAGATTGATTGTTTCCAGGGGCTGGAGGGAGTGGGATGGGAGTGACTGCTTCATAGGGACCCGTTTCCTCATGGGGTGATGAAATGTCTTGGAACCAGATAGAGCTGGTGGTTGCACAACATGGCGAATGTACTAAACGCCACTGAATGGCATGCTCACAAATGGTTCGTTGTACGTGATGTAAAGTCCACTTCAGCTTTTAAAAAATGGGAATGAGCCGGGCTCAGTGGCTCAGCCTGTCATCCCGCGCCTTTGGGAGGCTGAGGTGAGTGGATTGCCTGAGTCCGTGGGTTCGAGACCCGCCTGGGCAGCGAGACCTCATCTCTACAATAAATCAAAAAATCAGCCGGGCGTGGTGGCGCATGCCTGTAATTCCGGCTACTCGGAAGGCTGAGGCAGAAGGATCGCCGGAGCCCAGTGGGTCGAGGCTGCGGTGGCCGGGAGCAGCCACTGCACTTCAGTCTGGGCGACAGAGTGAGACTCCGACTCAAAAAAAAAAAAAAAAAAATGGGAATGATGATGTCATGCTCTTGGGGCTGGGGGAGGGACAGTGAGGCCCTTTGAGAAAAACCACCCAGCTCAGGGCCCCTCTATGTCTGGACTGAAACCCTCAGGGTGCCCACAGCTGCTGTGACACACCCATCACGCTATTTCAGCACCTTTGGGAAGCCCTCCCAGCTGTGTGCAAAACAGGTCCTCGCTCTCATAGAGTCATAGTGGGGAAGAGTGAGGATAGGAGAGAAATAAGAATGTGAGGCTGGGCGTGGTGGCTTACGCCTGTGATCTCAGCACTTTGGGAGGCCGAGGTGGGAGGATCACTTGAGCCCAGGAGTTCGAGACCAGTTTGGGCAACATGGTGAAACCTGGTCTCTACAAAAAAATTAAAAAATGATAGGCCGGGCGTGGTGGCTCATGCCTATAATCCCAACACTTTGGGAGGCTGAGGTGAGGGGATTGCCTGAGCCTGCGGGTTCGAGACCAGCATGGGCAACTTGGCAAGACCTCATCTCTACAATAAATAAAAAAATTAGCCGGGCATGGTGCCGCGTGCCTGTAATTCCAGCTACTTGGAAGACTGAGGCAGAAGGATCGCCTGAGCCCAGCAGGTCAAATCTGTGGTGGCCAGGAGCATACCACTGGGTGCCAGAGTGAGACTCCAACTCAAAAAAAAAACTGTTAGCTGGGCTCGGTGGCTCAGCTGTAATCCCACGCCTTTGGGAGGCTGAGGTGAATGGATTGCCTGAGCCCGCAGGTTCGAGACCCGCCTGG